AAAAGGAACATCTGAAATACTCCAAACAATAAAGATTTAAAATAAAAATACTAATTTAAAAGAAGACTTAGTGATATAAAATGTATAAATAGCACAGCCAGTGTGGCTCAGTGGTTGAGTATTGACCCATGAACCAGGAGGTCATGGTTCGATTCCCTGTCAGGGCACATGTCCAGATTGTGGACTGGATCCCCAGTAGGGGGTGTGCAGGAGGCAGCCAATCAATGATTCTCTCTCATTAGCGATGTTTTTCTCCCTCTCCCTTCATCTCTCTGAAATCAATAAAAACATTTTAAAAATAATAAATATAATAAGTACATTTTGAAAATTATATGGTGTGCAAAATGTAAAAACTCATCTTTCCTACTACTCCATTCCCTAGAGGACAATACAGGTGACAGTTTGGTGTGTACCTTTTGTTTTATATGTATTTTTATATCTATGTACACACACACACACACATATATTTAAACATTTATTGTGCACATATGCAAGTTTCTTTAGAATTTCATTAAGGAATCACTGGATCAACAGTATATGCTTTAAAATTTTTGAAAGTACTGCCTATGACAAGGCTACATGGATTTTCACTCACCAATCTTGTGCTATGTGACTTTGGAATATGCTAGAAGCCCTTTTGGAAGTAGATGGGATATAAATAATAAGTTCACGCTTTTACAAAATAGCCCTCGGCCAGCGAGAGAAGTGCCATGGGTACTGGGGAAATGATCAGCTCTCAGGCCCAGACTACAAGGCACGCCTGCAGCCCCAGCCTGACGTGATGCAGGCCACCTTAGGGAGGCGGTAGGAAGGAGGACTGAACTTCTCAGCCTCTGCAGAGAAAAGCCCTCTGGTATCTTGCTTACCTTGGCTGCACCAGCTCTGGGCCCCACCCACCTGGCCTGATTGAGGCAGACTGCCTGTCTGCGCTGGAACCCAGGCATTGTCACCGCTCTCAGTGAGAATGCAGTGAAGGAGAGGGACTCGCAGAGCACCCAGGGGGTGGGAGGGAAGCCAGGCTTTCTATATACTTCAGTCCTCTCAGGTTCGACAAAGGGAAACCTAGGGGCTATTAATACTAGAGGCCTGGCGCATGAATTTGTGCACAGGTGGGGTTCCTCAGCCTGCCCTGCACCCTCTTGTAATCTGGGACCCCTCGGGGGATGTCGAATCCCCACAGGCCAGGGATCAGCTGAAACCTGGGAGTCCGACATCCCCCTGAGGAACATAGCAGTGCTGAAGCAGCAGACAGCCGGGGAGGAGCCACAGCTGGGGCGGGCACAGCTCCACTGCCACTCATCCCGGCCCCCACTGTGCCTGGCAAGACCACAGAGGCAGGAGAGGCTCCCACTGCCACAGCTGCACTCACCAGCTCTGAGCCCAGCTTCTGGCTAAGCTCCTGTGTTGAGCATCTGCCCCCTGGTGGTCAGTGCATGTCATAGCGACTGGTCATTTGGTCATACAGTGGCTTGGGTATGTGTGTGTGTGTGTGTGTGTGTGTGTGTGTGTGTGTGTGTGTATATATATATATATATATATATATATATATATATATAATCTCAATTTCCCTTTTTCCTTCAAATGGGATACTACTATATGTACTTTTTTTCTTTTTAAATATATTTTTATTGATTTTTAGAGAAAGGAAAGAGAGAGATAGAAATACCAATAATGGGAATCATGGATCGGGTGCCTCCTGCACGCCTTACTAGGGACTGAGCCCACACCCTGGGCTTGTGCCCTGACTGGAATCAAACCCAGCCTCCTGGACCATAGGTTGATGCTCAAGCACTGAGCCAGGCTGGCAGGGCAGTTTATGCACTTTTTAAAAAACATTTTTATTTTTTTGGCATTATTTTAAAATCTTTATTTCTCTATAAATTTGAAACATATATATAATTTGTCTTCCAGATTATCTCTGTCAACAATTTTATCAAATGATTAAGTGCCACATTAAAAATATTTATTTAAAAAGAGGCTTTTGGCCGAAACTGGTTTGGCTCAGTGGTAGAGCATTGTACTGCAGACTGAAGGGTCCCGGGTTCGATTCCGGTCAGGGGCATGTACATTGGCTGCGGGCACAACCCCTGTTGGGGGTGTGCAGGAGGCAGCTGGTTGATGTTTCTCATCGATGTTTCTAGCTCTATCTCTCTCCCTTCCTCTCTGTAAAAAATCAATAAAATATATTTTTTAAAAATCTAAATTATATATAAAAATAGAGGCTTTTGATATACCTTAGGGAGATTAGAAGCTACGATTCTAATTTTTCCTACTCCTTTTTAAAAAGAGGATATATAAATGTATATTTTTCTTTTTTGTGTTTTCTGCTTTTCTAAAGACGTAGTCTTTTCCTTTTAACCACAATTCATAGGTAGTGACTAGAGAGACCTCAGGTCTTATATGGCAAGTATTTATTTAACATTTTTATCAGAAAAAAAAGTTTTTTAGATTGAGGTTGCTTTTAATTTTAAGAGAAAATAAGGCTACTTTGCTTAGCCTCAGCCTTCCAAAAATAGATCCTAAGATTCTGTTTATATAAATACACAAGCAGCCCTTGATCATACGCTTGTTGTGATAAAATAGCACAGAAGTAGCTCTAAATAGTAACATAGGTGAATAAGTCCTCTTTTAGTCCCTTCCTAGAAGGAACCATGGTTAACCCTTAATATCTAAACCCCTTCCATTGCAGTTACAAATACACATCTGTATATTTATATACCTTTTGTTTTAAACAAATGGGATTCTACTTTCCTGCCCGTCTTAATATATCTTTGAGGTCTCTCCATGCTAGTCCATATAGTTGTATCTCATTCTTTTTAATAGCTGCATAACATGAATGCAACTGTAATTTATGGTAGTTTTTTATTTTTATTTTATTTTTGTTAATCCTCATCCCAAGATATTTTTTCCATTGATTTTTAGAGAGAGCTGAAGGGAGGGAGAGAAAGAGAGAGAAGCATTGATGTGAGAGACACATTGATTTGTTGACTCCCACATGCACTGCAACAGGACCAGGAATGAACCTGCAACTGCGGTATGTGCCTTTGTCCAGGAATCAAACCTGGGACCCTCCAGCTTGCAGGATGACACTCTAGCCCAGTGGTTCTCCACCTTTCTAATGCCACGGCCCTTTAATACAGTCCCTCACGTTGTGGGGACCCCCAACCATAAAATTATTTTCGTTGCTACTTCATAACTAATTTTGCTACTGTTAATGAATCTTAATGTAAATATCTGTGTTTTCCGATGGTCTTGGGCTCTACAGCAGCGGTTCTCAACCTGTGGGTTGTGACCCACAGAATGAGAACCGCTAGCCAGGTCGTCACTGAGCAACACCAGCCTTTAAAATGTTACAAATGGTCCTGCAGTAAAGAATCTTAGTGCTTACATGAAGGCTAAGTTCTTGGATGTGGACTGGTTTTGTAAAAGGGTTAATACATTTGTTGTTCCCAGAAAGAGATAAGCTGGGGTCCCGGTAACTCCAGTCCTGGTGCCCTGAGAACAAAAGTCCAGTGAGCACGTGAGTGGGAAGTGGCTGTGATAACCCCTCTTGGTGGTTCACCATCGAGTAGCATATTAAAAGTTCTGGAGATTCTTCAGTAACCACTCACTGCGAGTGGGTTAAAAAGACTTGTTTGCAAAGGGAAAGGTTCTCATTCTTTGTACACATCTATGAAAATTTCCCTCAATGGTTTGGTAAGTGCCACCCGGTGGTAATCTTCCAAAGACAGGACAGCATTCAGATAGGAACTTGGCCACATACTGTCCCAAGCTGGGCAACCGGGTGGAGTCAGGTTTGGATTTTGTCCAAGAACCAGGCTAGGCTGTCACCTCCTCCCAACCCCCTTCCATCAGGTGAGAGAGGCTTCCCCTGGGGAGGGGAGAGTTTCACTCTGGCCTGTCTGAGAGGTGAAATCGGGCCCAGCTGAGACACTGCATCACAAGAGTGTGGATCCAGAATCCCTAGAGAAGGAGCCACGGGGGTATAGAAAGGCAGCCTGCCAAACCGGTTTGGCTCAGTGGTAGAGCGTCGATCTGGGGACTGAAAGATCCCAGGTTCGATTCCAGTCAACGTAGGGGTTGTGCAAGAGGCAGCTGGTCGATGTTTCTCTCTCATCGACGTTTCTAGCTATCTCTAATATCAATAAAATATATTAAAAAAGAAAGAAAGAAAGAAAGAAAGAAAGAAAGAAAGAAAGAAAGACAGCCTTCCCTTCATCCCAACCCATCTTCTCCAATTGGTGGAATCATGGTTAACTTCCAAGGATCCTGCAGCAGTCACCCGTGAAGCCTCTCCCTGACCCCCAGGACACCCTGTGTACTCCGGAAGCACCTTTGCTGGAGGTGCCTCTGCAGCAGTCAGCACTCTGTTCATCCACTCATTGGACTGGTCAAGAGGAAGGGCCATGCAATGAATTATGTACTCCACAGTCTTCCCAACAAACGGAGCTCCTCATAGCAGGCTACTGTCCAGGCTCCCCTTCCCTCATTCACTCATTCATCCAATCAATAATCACTATTAGGGGACCTACCAAGTGTGATAGCTAGACTACTCAAAATAAGGCCGAGGCAAATCCCTAACCTCATTCATTTTATATTTCCCGTAGCCCAGTCAGTGCCTAGCCCAAAGGGTTTAGGAATGACAGTGTAATTGGAAAGCTGCTTTAGCATAGCAAGCACTTTTAACTTACCTTGTCTGGTGCAGATTAAAAGCCATTTTCTCCAGATTTTCGCCTGGTCCACAATTTACATGACAGTCACTTGACCGTACGAGGTATTTTAAAAACACTTGGGGTGCCTTTGGGGTCCTGATAGAGTATGGGGGTACTGCATTTCCAGACAAGCCCAGGACCCACCACCTGGCCGGAACAGGACTGGGGAAGGGCCGGCCCGGCGGCCCCGCCCCCCACCCAGGCCGAGACCCCGCCTCCCAGGTGCAGCGACACGCCCCCATACGCCGGGCCACGCCCCTGGTGCCGCGGCCACGCCCCCTCTCCATAGTTACGGCGCTGCGGAGGCGGCGGCCATCTTGGCGCCGGAGCGATGAGCGGGTCGAACCCGAAAGCGGCAGGCGCGGGCTCGACGGCCGGGCCCCGGGGGCTGGTGGCTGGCAAGGAGGAGAAGAAGAAGGCGGGCGGCGGCGTCCTGAACCGGCTCAAGGCGCGGCGGCAGGCGCCCCACCACGCGGCCGACGACGGCCTCGGGGCAGCGGTTACGGAGCAGGAGCTGCTGGCCCTGGACGCCATCCGGCCCGAGCACGTCCTGCGCCTCGGCCGGGTCACGGAGAGTGAGTGCGGGCGCCGCGCCCTCCCCTCGCGCCGACACGCCCTCCCCTCGCGCCCGCGCGGAGCCCGCGCGCCCTCCCCCTCCGGCCGGAGGCGCTGCCCCGAGTCCGCGCCGGGCCTGCGCCCCGCCGGCCGCCCCTGCCGCTGCCCTCAGGCCGGCCGTTCCCTCCTCAGCGGGACTCGGCTGGTGGGGCCCCTTCCTTCCCCGGGCCCTCCCGACCCCGGTACGCGGGCCCCTGCCCCTCCTGCTGGAAGCCCCCGCCTCCGCGGCGCTCCCGCCCCGCCAGCCCCTCAGCCCCCAGCCCCCCGTCCGTCTGCGCCGCCCGGCAGCCCGGCCCTGCCCGTTTCCCTCCGCCCTTCCCAGCCCGCCCGGCCCCCGCCCCCCTGGCCCCACGCCTCCCCCTTTGTGTGCAGGTGGCTCTGCCTCCAAACGCGCGGCCGTGGCATTTCATGCAAATTTTAAGTAGTGCCACATTAAAAAAAAAAAAAACTTTCAGTGTATGTGCGAAATCTGAAATGTGCATCCTGCTTTTGACACTTGTTCGAGTGAATTAAGAAGTATGGCAGGGTTTCAGAACTGCCTTTCTGGCATAAAATGCAGCCACCCTACACCTTTTCATTGATAAAAGGGAGTTGGGGAGAGATACTGCCCAAACCCAAACCTGGATCGCCTCCGTTTTTCTTCCAAGCCAAGCCCTCGCTGGACGTCCTTTCTCTTGCTGTTCCCCCACCCCCACCCCCACCCCCCGTCCCTTCCCGTCCCATCCCCTCCCCCCAAGAATTTACAGTCGCCTGGTCAGGGCCCGCTTGCCGGCCCATCCCCCTGCCGCCCCAGCTCTCCCTGATGGGCCTCAGGCTGACTTATCTGAATTGCTTTACAGAGCCTCGGGCGCTCAGGTACCTGGGGAGCAGGTGGCAGCTCGGTGATTTGGGGATGGGAGTCTGGGTGGGTGGCCTTGGCCCAGACTGTATGGGGATTCCCATCTCCTAAGCATTTCCGTTTGATTGTGGATAGTTTGATGTCCCCATGCTTCATCACTGAGCTGGGACTGTCCTTTGTGTACCTGAGTGTATCTTAGAAGGTCTGCTCATGTTCTTTGAAACCTTGTGAGAAAGCTGCTTCGGTCGGACCCAGTTTTATTTGGGATCTGAAGGTACAGAAGTGCTCATCTTTCTAACCTCATGCTTTCTCCTGAGATCAAGGGTGAAATAGGCTATTCTACCATCCGGCCCCAAGCAACATCCTGGGGGCCTCAGGTCCTGTGTGGGAGCTTGGGATTGGTGCTCTGCGCTTCTGGAGAAAGCCAGGGGTCAGAGCTCGGTGACCTCTGCTTTTGGTTACTGTTGTGTGTTTTTATTTTATTTATTTAAAATATATTTTTATTGATTTCAGAGAGGAAGGGAGAGATAGAAACATCATTGATGGGAGACAGCATTGATGGGCTGCCTCCTGCACACCCCCTACTGGGGATGGAGCCTTCAACCCAGGCCTGTGCCCTTGACTGGAATTGAGCACGGGACCTTTCAGTCCAAAAGCCAGTGCTCTATGCACTGAGCCAAACCAGCTAGGGCCTGTTGTGTGTTTTTTAAATCACCTGATGTATATCATCACCCAAGGATATTTTCCCACTGATTTTTAGAGAGAGTGGAAGAGAAAGGGAAAAACAGAACGATGTGACAGATTGCCTCCTGCACGAGCCCTGACCAGAATCAAACCAGGACCCTTCGGTCAGCAGGCTGACACTCTATTACTGAGCCAAACCGGCTAGGGCCTGGTGATATATATATGTTCATTGATTTTAGAGAGAGGGACAGAAGAGAGAGAAATATTGATGTAAGGGAGAACATTGGTCTGTTGCCTCCTGTGCGCACCTGGACGGGACCAAACTCACAACCTAGGTTTGTGCCCTGCCTGGGAATTGACCCCTTGACCTTTCCGTGCCGGGACAACACTCCAGCTGAGCCGCCCGGCCAGCGCTTGTTACTCTTTTTTTTTAAAAACACATTTTATTGATTTTTTTTTTTTTCAGAGAGGAAGGGAAAGGGATATAGAGTTAGAAACATTGATAAGAGAGAAACATCGATCAGCTGCCTCCTGCACACCCCCCACCGGAGATGTGCCCGCACCCAAGGTACATGCTCTTGACTGGAATCGAACCCAGGACCCCTCAGTCCGCTCTATCCACTGAGCCAAACCGATTTCGGCGACACTTGTTACACTTCAAGTCTGTTCCGTTCAGCAACAGACCTGCTATTGAGTACCCGCTGAAAGTGCTAAGGCCTTCGTAGGAGTTACAGAATAATCAGGAGCTCTCAAGTTTGCCATCTTATGGGAGAGCCAGCTGGGAAAACATGAAACAAGTAACACACACAGGGGAGATAAAGGGACAGAAGGAGTTGTGAAAACACTGGGAGGAGTTATGGAAGAAAGGAGTAAGTGACATTTTCTGTGATCAGTAGGTGCGTTTGATTAGCTGCTCAGTCATTGTGGGCTCTTCCTCACTTTGGCCTAAACCCTCACCACCACGTCTGCCTGCTGCCTGTGCAGGTGTGGCCGCCACCTGACTGTACAGCCTCCGAGTTAAGAATGGTTCTTCCATTTTGAATAGTTGGGATGAGAAGAATGCTATCGTGCTCATGTGGTTGTATCAGATTCCTGTATCTGCCCATAAATAGTTGTTAGAACACAGCCGTGCTCGTCCGTTTTGTCTGCTGCTGCTTTGCGCTCCAGTGAGAGCTGAGTAGCTGTGACAGAGACTGAATGGCTGCAAAGCCTAAATCGTCCGTGATCTGGCCCTTTAAGGAAAAATTTGCTGGTCTCTGCTTTGTGATATTTTGGTAAATAAGCACTATGTGCCCTAGCTGGTTTGGCTTAGTGGATAGATAGAACCTGTGAAAGGTCCCAGGTACGATTCCAGTCAAGGGCACATGCCTAGGTTGTGGGCTCAATCCCCACTGGGGGGCATGCAGGAGCCAGCCAATCATTGATGTTTCTATCTCTCTCTCTCCCCCTTTCCTTTCCTCTCTGAAATGAATAAAAATATATATATTTTTTAAATAGTAAGCACCATGCTAGCCATAGTGTTTTAAAATGAAGTTTTAAAAAAATTCTGCCTGCCCTGACCAGTGTTCTCACTGGTTGGTGTCACCTGGTGTCACAGGTTCGAATCCCAGTCAGGAGCATGGTGTACCTGAGTTGCAGGTTCGATTAGGTTGGGGAGTTTGCGGGAGGCAACCAATTGATGTGTCTCTTTCACATTGATGTTTCTCCCTCTGTCCCTCCCTTCCACTCTCTTAAAAAAAAAATCAATGGAGATTGATCCAAGATGGCTGCACCCAGGTGAACACCTAGCCGCAGCCACACACAACAATTTCAATAAAAAAAAACTAAAATATAAAACAGACATTGCCCAGAACTACAGAAAGGTTGACTGACTGGAAATTCTACAGCGAGAAGCAAGGAGAAAACCAGAAGGAGGCGCGGAGGAGCTGGAAAAGCCCAAGGCACGGAGATGCAGGGCGAGCAGAGGACGGAGCCAGAGAGGAGGGGGAGGCGGAGTGCCTGGCGGGCGTTCCCTAGCGGAAAGGAGATAAAACTCCGACTGTGCCAGACCCCGGGGACTCAGGCTCAGCCATAGGGAGCCGGGCTGTAAGGCGGAACCCCGGGAAGCGGCGAAAGGAGGTCCCGGCAGCGGCGCGCACACTGCTCGCAGAGAAGGGACAGTCGGCTGTGCCGCGGGATTGCCCTGACGGGAAGGAGACGGGGGCTCCAGACTGCTCTGAACGCCACCTCCAACTCTACTTCCAACTGAACTGAACCCCAATACCGGGCTCATTGTGGGAGAGCATAGACTGTTTGGCAGCAGGCAAAAATCGAGGGCACCTTTCAGAGGCGCCGGCAGCGAGCACTGAAGGACCTGCATAGGGCGGGGCTGACGGAAGCCAAAGCTGCAGGCTCCACCCAGAAACCCCGTCCCATCTGTAACTGCGAAATGCGACAACGAAATAGATTACAAACGAAAGAAATGGAGGACAAAAAGCGTCTGGATATATAGAGTTCAAATCTACGCTTATAAGGCTTTTCAAGAATTTCCTAGAAAAGATGGATAAGGCCTATGAGGATATGAAAAGAGATCAACTAGAATTAATAAGGAGTCATCAAGAAATGATAAGGGATCAACAAGAAATAAAGAATACATTGTCTGAAATAAAAAATATTTTACAGAGTCCTAAAAACAGAAGGGAAGATCGCAAGAATCAAGTCAAAAATTTGGAACATAAAGAGCCAGAAGACACTCCTCCACAGAAGCTAGAAGGCAAGAGAATCCAGAAAATTGAAGATAATGTAAGAAACCTCTGGGACAACTTCAAGCGAACCAACATCAGAATTATGGGGGTCCCGGAAGATGAGAGAGAGCAAGATATCGAAAACATACTGAAAGAAATAGTGACAGAAAACTTCCCCCACCTAGTGAAAGAATTAGACTTACAAGTCCAGGAAGCGCACAGAACTCCAAACAAAAAGAATCCAAAAAAGACCACACCAAGACACATCATACTTAAAATTCCAAGAGCAAAAGACAAAGAGAGAATATTAAAAGAAGCAAGAGCAAAGAAGGTAGTTATCTATAAAGGAGCACCTATACGATTGTCAGCTGACTTCTCAACAGAAACCATGCAGGCCAGAAGGGAATGGCAAGAAATATTCAAGGTGATGAATAGTAAGAACCTACAGCCAAAGATAATCTATCCAGCAAAGCTATCACTCAGAATTGAAGGTCAGATAAAGAGCTTCACTAATAAAAAAAAGCTAAAGGAGTTCATCAACACCAAACCAGAATTATATGAATTGCTGAAGGGGGTTCTTTCAGAAGAGAAAGTAAACAAAGATAAAAATTATGAACAACAAATACGTGACTATCAACAAGTGAATCTAAAAACCAAGGAAATTAAAAAAAAATCTGATGAACAATAGTAACTGTTGAATATAATAGAATCAGAGGTATGGAAGGGGAGTGAACTGATGATTCTTGGGGAAAAGGGGAGAGGGGGGCGTGGGAAGAGACTGAACATAAACTGTGCACCTATGGATGAGGACAATGGGGAGTGGGGAAAGGGCAGAGGGTGGGGTGGGAACCTGGTGGAGGAGAGCAATGGTGGGGGGGGAAAAAGGAACATTTGTAATAATATGAACAATAAAAACTTATTTAAAAAAAAATCAATGGAAAAAAAATTCCCTTTTGGGGCAGCCAAGTTGATCATGAAGAAACAGTTTGGAGGCCATTTTTGAGGTATTTACAAAGAAATTCCCTTTTATTCCTGTTTCTAAAAATGTTTAGTAATCTTCCATCCACACCAAGTCCATGGACTTTTTTTCCCCGTGGGTTCCCCAGTTCTCTCCACCCACAACTTTGCTTATAAGTTTTTGTATATATTTTAAGCGAACTGTGTAAGAAAAAACTTGAGTTTGCCTCACAACTTGGGAAGTGCATGCTAATTTTGGAGAGTTATTTATGGCACGGTCTCTCTCACTTTCAGATTATTTATGTAAACCCGAAGACAACATCTACAGTATTGATTTCACCCGCTTCAAAATTCGCGATTTGGAGACAGGGACAGTGCTGTTTGAGATTGCTAAGCCCTGTGCCTCAGGTAAGCCGCTGGTGGCCGTGTCGCTGATAGTTGGAGCAGAAGGCTTTGGAGTTGGCGTTGTTGGCCTTTGCCTCCCGTGTCTCGGACCCCAGCGTGTCCCTCCCCGTGACCCCCCGAAGCCGGGCCTGCGGGCCTGCTGGTGTGACGCTGAGAGGAGAGGCGGTGTTTACTGGTTGCTGTGTGCTGTCTGTTTATCCCAGCTCATGTAATCCTCACACCACTGGCAGGAGTTACTGTTCCCATTTTACAAATAAGGAAACTGAGGCCCAGAATTCCCAAGTGACTTTTCTAAAGTCTTCCCTCCTTCACCTTACCACATTGCCTCCCCGTAGGAAAGGAATCGTGAAATGGAACTCTAAGGGGAAAAGCTCACTTGAGCCTGAGTCTTAGGGACACTCTAGAAGGGTGATACTGCTGATTCCAGCCCCGACCATGAGGCTGAAGCTCACCTGGCTTCTCACTCTCTTCTTTAAACAGTGTCTCCTATTTCCCAGTAAGTCTGCGTTTGGATTTCAATCTGCACCATTTTCTGGATGAACAGAAAGCCCAGACCTATGAACTCATCTCCTTGGGGTTCTTTAAATTAGCCTTGGCTAGAGCTTCCTGTGCTGTGACACAGTTTCTGGGTGATTCATTTCTGGCTGGGGGACCACACTGCTTTTGGAGCGCAACACTGGAGATTTAGCGCCCCCTGGAGGTGGTTATAGAACACCAGCACAGATCCCTTCAGAGGATCGGCGTGGTCTGTGTAGTCTTCCTGCAAAGCTCTTCTCACATCCTGCTTGCTACTCAGAAAGGGCCTGTAAATTTGGTGAGTCCAAAGACTTTCCTGAGAAAGTCCATCTCGGGCTAGTAGTCCATACTCAAGGTTAGAGTCTCACCCCTCCCAGTATGTTTTTGTGTCTCTGTGTTGGCTCTTTTCATTTTTTCCCTTTAATTCTTTATTATTTAAAGTATTAATGTGTCTCCCTTTTCCCCCATTGACCTCTCCCTGGCACTCCCACCCCCAGCACCCACCCAGTATGTTTTATGCTGCCATAGTCTGGTACTGATCAGGCACCTGAAGGCTCAAGCTTGTGGGCGCTAAGCTTGTTTGGGAGGGCCGGGGCCAGCTGGTTTCCTGGGCTGGGAGTCCATACCCCGTACCACATGCCTTATACTGAGGATGTTTCTGGGATCCTGGGACTGACTGACTACTCAAGTGTGCGTATTTGAACTAGACTGGGCTCAGAGTAGTCATTGCAGTGCAACACGGAGCGGCCTCAAGAACGTCAGCAGCAGACACTGCAGATAAACTTTGCTTTCCACCTCTCCAGCCTCTTCCTTTAAGGCTCTTGATTGACTCAGACCAGGCTCACCCTGAGGCAGTTCCCTCCAGCAGCACTTACTCTGATGGGTTGGAATCCCTGAGAAGATTTGGTCTGACTGTTTTTTGTTTTTCTGTGAATCCTCACCCAAGGATATTTTTTCCCGTTGATTCTAGAGAGTGGAAGGGAAGGAGAGAGTAGAAGGGAAGGAGGGAAAGAGAGAGAGAGAGAGAGAGAGAGAGAGAGAGAGAGAGAGAGAGAGAGAGAGAGAGACATCGATATGAGAGAGCCACATCAATTGGTTGCCTCCCATACCAGCCTGACTGAGGCAAGGAACCTGTAATCCAGGTACATGCCCTTGACCAGGAATTGAACTGGAGACTTTTCAGTGTGCAGGCCATCGCTCTAACCACTGGTCATGCTGGCCAAGGCTGGTCTGACTCGTGAGAGGCAAGAGAAGAGGTGGACCTCCGAGGGAGGTGGTGCTGAGATGTTGCACTCATGATTCTGTGTCCGCTTTCAGACCAAGAGGAGGAGGAGGAGGCCGGTGGAGATGCGGACACCAGCGCAGGACGCTTTGTCCGCTATCAGTTCACACCAGCGTTTCTCCGCCTCCGGACAGTCGGGGCTACGTGAGTACAGCCTTTCCGGGGAGGGCCTCCCGCTTGTTTGCAGGGCAGAGTGCTCTCGGCGGGTTGGCTGTAGAGGTGGAGGGGACAGCGAGGGCTCACAAAGATTTATTTGGCAGGGTGGAGTTCACCGTGGGAGACAAACCTGTGTCAAACTTCCGGATGATCGAACGGCACTACTTCCGGGAGTGCTTGCTGAAAAACTTTGACTTTGATTTCGGCTTCTGCATCCCCAGCAGCAGGAACACTTGTGAACATATCTACGAGTTTCCCCAGCTCTCTGAGGATGTCAGTACGTATCCCTGACTGTACAGCATTCTAGGTTTTGGGGCCAGAAGGAACAACCCTCAGATCCATCTGGTCCAGTGCCCGCATTTTGCAGAGGAGGGAAGTGTGACAGGATGCAGCCATCTCTACTCATTTGACCTCAGGCTTCTCATTTCCTGCTGCTCCGATCTCATGTTTCAAATGGGACACTGCCCACTTGGGAGGTTTAAAAACACAGGCCGCTCCTTCCCCGCCCCACCCCTGCTGTGGGAAAGGGAGTGGCGGAGGGAGGTAGAGGAGCCCATCACAATCGGGACTCTGATGGACTCTCATTAGTGAAGCGCCTCTCCTGTTCGCTGTTAGTCATGGTTCCCACAGTTGAACTCCCCTCTCGGCACTCTCACTTTCCCCCTCACCACAGCTAGACGTGAACCCGGGGGCTAAATAGAACCATAGGTCTCAGGACCTCCTCTTGCTCAGTCTCTGCAAGTAGAGGAGTGATTGACAGACGGTTAGAACAGAGCCATAGGGAGAGGGCGCTGGCACAGGTGTCAGGTTTGGAGAGGAGTGGCGCGGCGGAAGCAGTGTCTTCAGAAGAGAATCCATAGTTGTGAGGAGGAGGAACTGGGAAGGCCCCGGAGAGGGGCTGAAGCAAGAGAAGAGGTGGACTTCCGAGGGGAAGAACAGGCCTTTTTCGTTTCTGTGACTTTGGTCTACCTCGCAGGTTCACCGCCTCTGTTAGAAAATAGAGAAAATGTTCCTGGAACAATGAGGGTGTGCGTTGGGTCCTGTGAATAGTGGGGTTTGTTGGTAGGTGGGGAAGGATCTACGTATATGGACTGGTTTTCTCAGAATCTGAAGGTGCTTAAAACTGTCATTCTGATGGCTAGGTGCTCGACTAGTGTGGTGGTGCTCTTCGGGGGGCGGGGGGAGGACTGCTGGGATGTGAGCGGGGTCAGGACAGCCTCTGATCCTGTTTGAACCTGCTCCCTCAGATGGCCTGGATCCGTAGCTCCTTGTGAGAGAGATTATGTAGCATTTCAAGTTTTTACCATGACTTTTCCTCTTGAGTCAACAGGCGGGGAGTGTGGAGGCCAGATTCTGCACATAAGCCAAGGAGCTCAGGTCGGGTGGGTCCAAAGAGACGCACCCAGTCAGCGTCACCTGTTCAGCACACCTTCTCCCAAAGACTCATTACCTCCGGGCTGGCAGGAGTGACTGTGTGACAGCTCACCTCAGCCTGGTAAGGGCGTCTGAGGTCTGGATCCCAGGACAGACACACCTTTGGCTCATCATTTCCAGGCTAACACTGAGCCGTCTCTGGAATGGGCTCCGTGCCCTCCGTGCCCCTGCACTCACGTCACCTAGGGTTTCTCTGGTTGCCAGCGGGCCCCGTGGCAGTGGCCTCAGGAGGCACAGCTTTTTGTATTCGGACCAGAATGTCTAGGGGAGCAGAGAGGCGCTGAGTAAATAGTTGCTGGGGTCCATGTGGGCAGGAGGGTAGGCACGTTCTCTTGGGAGGACCCAGAATCAGGCCGGGTGGCCAGGCAGGGCCTGTCAGCAAGTTGAGTGCATCGGATGTGTAGTGGGTCTCAGTTCTGTTTTGAGGCCTCTGTGGGCTCCAATTCTCCCCCCTCAAGGGCTGGCTCCCCCATTCCAACCTCATTATTCTGGGAGAGTGCTCATATTTTCCGGAAGGACCAGTTTATGCATTGTTGGCAGGATGCTAAGCTTTTTCACCTGGCTCATGGGCAGACTCACAATTAAGTCTGTTTTGCTTTCCCTCACTTGCAGTTCGTCTGATGATTGAAAATCCCTACGAGACCCGTTCTGACAGCTTCTACTTTGTTGACAACAAGCTGATAATGCACAACAAGGCCGACTATGCCTATAACGGAGGCCAGTAACGCCGTGGGACTGGATGGGGAGTGCTGGGCTGCCGCCATGGTCCCGGCACCTGGAAGGTTAAAGCTGCCGGATGTCACAAGCCTGGGACCTGGCCCAGGAAGCCACGGCTGGGGGCAGTTTTCGGTGCTTCGAGAGAGGTGCCAAGCAGTGCAGTGTTCCTTCCCCAGTATTTCCTCTTCCCTCTTTCCCCTGCCCTTAGGTCAGAGGTACTATATAGTGAAGATTAGGATAAGGTTCCTCAAGTCCAGATTAAAAAAGAAAGATTATTTTCATGTAGTCATAGCTGCCTAGTGGTTGTCCTGACAAGCCTGGGTCTCTGGCAGGGCAGTGCCCGGGCGAGGAGGCTCTGCCCCCTGCAGGTCCTGGGTGCTGTGAGGAGAGGCCAGCCTCTGCCGGCGTCTTCTCCTGTTTCCGAGGTTGCCATCGGCACAGTCAGACTCAGCCTGTGCAGTTATAAACCAAATGGGAAGAAACTTGAAAGGGGGTGGAGGGGAGGAACGGCGCCTTGAGGCCCGAGGGCCGGTAAGGCTGCCACACTGTGGAGAGGCCGCTTACCTGTCTACCTGCAAGGTCCCGGGCAGTCCCCCCGGGACCGCACCGGGTCAGCTGGCAGTGCCGTCCGCCCTCATCCTGGCGGGGAGAGGAGCTTGCCCTGCTGCTGGCTCCTGACTGGGGACCTTCTGAAACGGAAAGGTTTCACTTTGGAAGTCATCTCCCTTGCGGCAGATTAGGCCTCATGTTCTTTCCAGGCCTCTTTCGGAGGTCGTGTGAGATGTCAGTGTGACCTGCGGTTAGCCTTCTGCCAGCACAGCTCAGGCCGGGCTCTGGCTCAGGTTGAGGCTGTACAGTCAGCCACGGCCGTTCAGGCCGCACTGGTTTCCGCTCCGCGTAGCCCGGAGGCCTGGCTGTGGGCCGGGTTGACCTCTAAGACTCTGCAGTCTTACTGAGGTTTTCTGTCTGCCTTTCTGCTGCCATTGTTTCTGGAACCATTGGGCAGGTCAGAGCTAAGGAATGCAGATCTGGTCCTTGGAATCTTTGGGTGTTTCGCCTGTGCCAGAGATGTGTGCTCAGAAAAGCTTCCTTGCCCGTCCTGCTACTTCGATCCTCAGGCCTTTGTTGGATGGACTCGCCTCCAACAGGTGGTCTGGCGTGGTGACGCTAGGCGCTGTAAGACGGCTGCTGTGGCCAGGCTATAGCACTGTAGGGAGGCGCTGTAGGGAGGGCCCAGGTATGTGTAATAGTCACTGTCACCGACAGTGACTGACAGGATAGCTGTTTCCCACGCGCTGGGGAGGAAGGCCGAGGGCCAGGGGAGGGGGCCGCACTGGGCCACAGCAGCCCCTGTGCGTTCATGGGCCGGTGTGGCTCCCGTTTGGATTCTGGAATGTGAGCGGTCTTGAGCCTCGGCCTGGTGCTATATACCAGGACGGAGTCTGGGCTGTGCCAGATGCTGATGCTTTCTCATCCAGAAAGCCCTGGGTTAGCCCTGTGTGCCAGCACCAGGTCCAACCAATGAGGGAAGGGAGGCCCAGCACCTGCAGACCGGGAGTCTCAGCCCTGGGGCGGATACAAACCCAGGTGCCTTACGTGGGCTCTGCCCCCCATGCTGCTGGGGAGGCTGCGCGCCCCCACCCCCATCCGCCCGCCCGCAGGCAGACGGTAGCTCTGCCTCTTGCCCTCATTTGGCTCCGCTAGCACCTCGCGCCTGTTGAGCTTCAGAAGCCCCATCTGTGACGACCCGATCAGGAGGGTTCCTCCCCTTTGATGCTTGGTTTGCATCAGGAGTGGTTTCTGGAGTGCCTAGAGTTCTGCTCAGTAGAGGGTGCCTTGGAAACGTGGCCCAGGGCAGACTGGTTTGTGTGCGACGGTCTCTCAGCTGCACACAGTGAGCTTTGCGAGGACGAAGGCCAGCAGGGCAGAGGGGCAGGCACTCAGGCAGGAAGTGCGGCGTCCTCTCCCCACCAGCTTGCCTTAGTCTCCCTGGAGACCACTTTGAGGCCAAGCGCTCACACTGCCCAGTAGGACAGGGTTGGCTGTCCTCTGTGCCCGGATCTGGTGCTCTGTACCTGAGACTGGTTTCTTGGGCCCCTGCTCAGGGAATCTTGAGAAGCATCACCACTCTGGGTGTTAACCAGGGTGAGTTTGTAGTTCAAGTTTTTGTTCCTGAATTGGACAGAGAATTGGAAGTCATACTTTCTTTGAAAGTATCTGAACCAATCAAAAGTTGAATCAGGGCTGGAGGCCAACACTAGTGAGGAACTTGGACTGTTGGTGCAGTTATCTGTGGGTAATACAATGGGAGGAAAACGGCCCTGCAGCCTGGCTGGTAGGTTCAGTGGGTAGAGCGTTGGCCCAAGGACTGAAGGGTCCCGGATTCAATTTCAGTCCAGAGCATGTACCTCAGTGGCAGATTTGATCTCCAGCCCAGGCCTGGTCTCAGGGCATGTGCAGAAGGCAACCAATTGATTAGTCTCTCTCATATCAATATTTCTCTCTGTGTCTCTCCCCCTCCCTTCCACACACTCTAAAAATCAATGGGGGGAAATATGCATAGGAGAGGAATTAACAACAACAAAAGAGCCCCTGCATGCTCTCTCAGAGCTGGCAATGGGAGACGGCTCCTGGAGGAGACCGCCTTGGGGCTGGCGGCCGCCTGGTGGCGTGGGGCCTGCTGCCTCTCCTGTCCTGCTCTTGTCCCTCTGCCTTGGAATCTCCCGGAGAGAGCCTCTCTCTTCCCTGAAGCCTTTGGGCTCAGGTGCACTTCTAGCTTCTCCAAAGAGACCCTGCTTTGTTGTAGTCTGTGCTCAGAGGAACTGGCTCTGGCTGCCCTCTCCTTCGCAGTTAGCGCAGTTACCGTGCAGAGAAGGCCGTTTTCAGGGGCCTCGGGCTTCCTGAAGACACAATGTCTTTGGGCATCCGATTCGCAGATAAGGGCAGGATTTTGGAATGTTGGGTCTGACCATAGACTGGCGATCCTTGAAATGGCAGGGACGGGAATCTTCAGCCTGTTTTTTCAGTTGAAAGTGGAACTCATTTGTGAGAGGACATCCTAGGCTGTGTCTAATGTACAAACAAGGCGAGTCCCGCCTTAGTGTGTCCTGCCAGCTGGGGCTCTCGGGTGCTCTCCTTCTGGTGGGCCCGGGGACTGTGCGAGAGATTCCTGACAGGGTGACGCAGAGCCATCACGTTGCATTCCCTGTAACGGGCCGTGTTCACCCAGAGGGTCTGGCGGAGGTGGGCTTACTGCTTTACAAGGTCATGTACGTAGTCATTGACGCGGGAAAGTCTGCTTTCCCCGGTAAACCTGTTTTTCACAGAATATAAGCAACATCAATGACCTGATGTGTCCTTCCTCCTCTTACCTTCACTTGAGATCCTCATTCCAGTTTTATTTTTTTCTGTTTTGCAAATTGTTTTATAACCACAACAGATAAGGACAGAGAATGCCCTGTTTGAAACATCACAATAAAGGTTCAAGATCAAGGTGTTCCCTTCGGCAAGGCTGAAGACTCTCAGTCTCTGGTATTTGGAATTTAGGCTGCAATCCTTATTTTTGAATGGATCACTGGGTGTGTGGGACAGTCCATGCTTTTAACCAGATTTGAACAGAAGAATGGGCACTCGGTCCAGGTAGAAGTAGATGAAGTGTTTGGTTTCATGTGTCATGTAACTACCGAAGTTCCTCCCCATGATGCAGCGCCCTGGAGGGGGGGGTATACTTCATGTCAAAAAAAAAGGTTTTTTTCAAATTACAAGAGAAAGTAGAAGTGAGCCATCTGCACTGTGTGGGCTCAGGAAACAAGTTACAGAGGCAGAGGGTCCTTGTAGCTTAGGAGGGAAAGGCCAAGGTAACGGGCCGGGAGGGGGCGGAAAGGGGAGGGAGAGGCCCCGCGGGCTCCTCCTCGCTGTGGCCAGTGTCCTCCATGTATGTCCCCAGCACCTCCGTCCCGGGAGTCCACTGCGGCTCCTGTGCACGGCGTGTGCACGGCGTGTGCACGGCGTGTGGGTCACCGCCTTTCTGTCGCACACATGACAGCGGAGCAGGGGCTGGCACATCTCCCCCATTCCCGTTTTTATTGTCTTTGTGTCCAAAGTAAACGAGGTGACTAATTTCTATAAAATGTTATTTTGCCACAAGAGACAGAAATAAAGATTTTCACAGTATGTGTACCCTCTTGTCTCCTGGCTGCGCTCCTTGTGCTCTGGCGGGAGCAGGCATGGGGTGGGGCGGCCTTTCTGGGAACAGTTTGAGCATAGCTGGTGTCGGGGTGGTTGAGGAACCGTATTGGCTCTAGGTTGAATATTTTCGCTTTATTTTGTTGGGGCTCTTTAAGAAGTAAACATTTATATACACATTTAAAAGTGAAGGTGTGCTTTAACTAGAGTAAAGGCCACCTCATTTAGGAGTACAGTTTGATACAGGGCATTCCCATCACCCCAAAAAGTGCCCTCCAGTTTCTGGTGGTCGTGGCCAGCTCTCTCCTTCCACTCCAGCCCCTTGCAACTATGTTGGAAAAACAGTACACATTTAATATAAATTGTATACCCATGTTTAAGGTCACAAATGAGTCCATTTTAAAATAAGTCTGGTTTAGCCTGGCCAGTGTGGCTCAGTGGTTAAGCATCGATGTATGAACCAGGAGATCACAGTTCGATTCCAGGTCAGGACATGTGCCCGGGTTGCAGACCCAGTACCCCAGGGTGGGGTGCACAGGAGGCAGCCAATCAATAATTCTCTCTCATCTTTGATGTTTCTATCTCCCTTTCCCTTCCTCTCTGAAAAAAAAATTTTTTTAAGTCTGGTTTAGATGGTCTGGGACACCTGAGGCAATCATTGGCCTCTGTCCACAAACAGCACCCACTTATTCCTCCTCCATGTTCCTGCTTTTCCTCCACACAGGGCTGGGGGGTTGGGGAGGGGAAGGTGAGGAAGACCTCAGAGCATTAGCCAAAGGCAGTCCTGCATTTGGTCCTGGGAGCTTAGGAGAGAGAAAGGCAAAGGTAATGGCTTCTGTAGACAGTGCCTGGGAAGGCTCTGGGGCATTTCTTTAATTATTATCAGCTGAACTCTGGGCAAAAGGCAGAGCCATGCCCTGGGAACTGTTTCCCCAAAAGGCGGACACGTTATCAGTACTGACTTTTACCTTTGTCCAGGAAGGGCTTGATATACAAATCCAGTCAAACACCAGGAATGCTCGGGCCTACTCTAGGATGCAAATAAGCTCCTTTGATCCTAAGTTTTGGTGATACTTCCTGGTATTTTGGGATATATAAATAAATGCACTGCTTGGTATATAAATATATAAATATATTTAATATATAACTAAATCGCCTGTCCCTGCCTCTTCATCAGAGGTAGCAGCAGTTCCACTCCCCATCTTTATAAATCTATCTCTGTGTCTTCTTTCTATTTTTCTTTATTTCTCAATCCCTGGCTGCCTCCACTTTGAACCGGTTCGTTCTCTCTTGCCGTGCAGGATGCAGAAAAGGGAGATCCCCGCTGCATCAGGCACCAACAGCTTCGGGAGAAGAGGGAGCAGCGGGAGCAGCTGTGGGCTAGGGGCTTTTCAATTGAAGATTTCTCTTAAGTGGAAGGTCACATATTAAGGACTTTGCTGTAACTTTTGATTGATCTTTAGGAGTTAGAGCAGGTCTTGGCAGAAGACAAAAAAATTGAAAAAATAAACGATAGAGGCCCTGGCCAGGGGGCTCAGTTGGTTGGACCACCACCAAACGGTTGCAGATTCACTTCCTAATCAGGGCACATACCAGGTTGTGGGTTCAACCTCCAGTCAGGTTATGTACAGAAGGCAACTGGTCGTCTCTCACATTGATGTTTCTCTCTCAAAGCAATAAAAACATATCCTCAGGATTTAAAATAACCCTATATAGCCAAAACGGGTTTGGCTCAGTAGAGAGCGTCAGCCTGCGGACTGAAAGGTCCCAGGTTCGATTCTGCTCAAGGGCATGTACCTTGGTTGCGGGCACATCCCCAGTGGGGGGGTGCAAGAGGCAGTTGATCGATGATCCCATCGATGTTTCTAACTATCCCTCTCTCTTCCTCTCTGTAAAAAATCAATAAAACTTATTTTTAGAAAAATAAAATAACCCTATATAATATCCTGTATAATAAAAGCCTAATATGCTAAGTGTCTGGTCATCTGTTCAACCAATCTAAGTTTAATATGCTATTGATGCCGAAACCGGTTTAGCTCAGTGGTAGAGTGTTGGTCTGCGGACTGAAAGGTCCTGGATTCGATTCCGGTCAAGGGTATATACCTTGGTTGTGGGCACATCCCCAGTAGGCAAGAGGCAACTGGTCAATGTTTCTCTCTCATCGACGTTTCTAGCTCTCCATCTCCCTTTCTCTCTTTAAAAAAAAATCAATAAAATATAAAAAATAAATAAAATACAAAAAAAATAAAAACAATTGTTTAATATGCTATTAATATGCTAAGGCAGCTCAACCGCTTGCTATGATGTGCACTGACCACCTGCTGCTGTTGTCTGGCTGATCAGAACTGAGTGAAACAGACTGGACCTGCCCTGGAGCCCTCCCACAGCCACTACCCCCAGCTGACCCATCCTATGGGCCCTCATCAGGATGAGCCTGCCAGATGCCACCCATGCACAAATTCATGTACCAAGCCTCTAGTAATCTGCAATAATATGCAAATTGACCATACCTTCACAGTACCCACTAGCCAATCAGGAGTGAGTATGCAAATTAACCCAACAAAGATGTGCATATGCAGGTATGGAGCAAAGATTGAAGACTCAAGATGACTGAAGCTGAAACCAGTCGTTGGCCTGCAGACTGAAAGGTCCCAGGTTCGATTCTAGTCAAGGGCATGTACCTTGGTTGTGGGCACATCCCCAGTAGGGGGTGTGCAAGAGGCAGTTAATTGATGTTTCTCTATCAATGTTTCTAACTCTCCCTCTCTCTTCCTTTCTGTAAAAAAATCAATAAAATATATTTTTTTAAAAAACACCCCTCATGATTTTTGTCTTTTTTTAAAAAGAAGACTGAAGAGACTTGGCTTTGCTTCAACCTCTGCAGAGACACTGCAACCAGAGTGGGAAAGCCTAGCCTCAAGGCTTGGCTTCTCTGCTGTGGCCTGAGGGAAGGCCTGGGTCCTGAGTTTCAGAGGAAAACCCGTGCCAGCAGCCAGGGAAAGGAAGCCTATTGCACGAATCTGTGCGACGGGCCTCTAGTTAACCTGTTAACTGAGCGGGACGTATAAATACGTCAAGCATAAACAATATCGGGAACGGGCAGGACGTATGAATACGTCCTGGAAATATATATTGTGCCCTGAGAGGGACGGTATATATTTTTTGTAATCTTTATAATTGTTTGTAAAATTTATAATTTTTTAATTCGATGTTTCCATTTTTTTGTTGGTATTCTTTTCTATTTGTAATTTTGTATTTTCCTTTGTGCTTTATATATAAATAAAAAATATATATTTCATTTATTTTAATTAAGTATAAATAAAAAATAATATAAAATTATGTCCACTGGGCGTGACGTACTGACACGTCCTAGGGAAAGAGTATGTGCCCGTTGTACGTTGCATAATTAAAAAGGGAACTCTCCGGTTAATTAGTAAAGAACAGAAATTTACTTCCCAGTTGTAGAGGGGGTGGGAAGACCAAGATCAAGGTGCCATCAAATCTGGTGTCTTCCTGCTGTCCTTGCAGCAGAAGGGCCGGAAGACCAGTTCTGGCCTGCGGGTCAGTGCTGGGGAAGGCGCCTGGCTGGGGGGGAGAAAGGCAGCTGGAGGCATGTGTGGTGCCTGGGAGGGTGTGGCAGTCTGCCTGTCACTCGTGCCTCTTGGCCCGCAATGGTGTCCAGAGGGGGATGCTAAGGGCCTAATGCATGGCCTCAGGGCAGCCCCCTGCTCCCCTGGGACTGCCCTACTATTGGGAGTGAGAAGGGTGACACAGGCGCTGGCGGTGACGCCCCACCATCGCACCTTCACAACCTGCGGGGGGAGGAAAGCTCCCTCCCAGCAACCCCAGGCCCAGCTAGTGAGCATCAGAGCACAGACCCTTTGCCTCGTGGGGTTCGCAGACTATTCAGCAGGGACTCGGTGAGAATTCAGATGCTAGCGAAACCGGTTTGGCTCAGTGGATAGCATCGGCCTGCGGACTGAAAGGTCCCGGTTCAATTCTGGTCAAGGGCACGTACCTTGGTTGCGGGCACATCCCCAGTTGGGGGGCTGGGGGTGCAAGAGGCAGCTGGTCGATGACTCTCATCGACGTTTCTAACTATCTTAATTCCTCTCTGTGTAAAATCAATAAAATATATTTTTTTAAAAGAATTCAGATGTTACGTGTCACGAATAAATAAACCAGGGGGTGGAGAGTGTACAGGAGAAACAGGGCCCTGACAGCCGATTCCCCCGCCGCAGGGGTCCGGCCCGCTTTCCACCAACTGGGTGAGGACAGCTGGGTCCCAGCCGGGACAGCCGGGACAGCCGGCGGTGGAAGCTGAGGGAGGAGGACGTCACAGAGGCGGGAGCGGCCTCCCCGCCCAGGAGGGCGGAGCGCGGGGCCCCGCCTCGAGGGCGAGACACTGATCGCGGCCCCGACCCCGCAGCCGGAACCCAGGCCGCGGAGGCTGGAGGAGCCGCCCCGGCCCGTCTCCGACTCCGTCTCATGGCCGCCGCCGCGATGCTCGCCCGGGCCTGCGGGCCGGTCCGCGGGGGTGAGTGCTGCCGCCGCGGCCGGGCTGGCGGGTCCCTGCGGCCGTGACCTTTGCCCCAGTTAGGCGCCCCTGCGCCTGCGCGGCCGGGCTCCTCCGACTGCTCCGTCGCCCCCTCCTCCTTCTACCCCCCCCCCGGGCCGCACGCCCCCCCCCGGGCCGCACGCCGCCCCCCCCCCGGGCCGCACGCCGCCCCCCCCCCCCCGGGCCGCACGCCCCCCCCCGGGCCGCACGCCGCCACCCCCCGGGCCGCACGCCGCCACCCCCCCCCGGGCCGCACGCCGCCCCCCCCCCCGGGCCGCACGCCGCCCCCCCCCCCGGGCCGCACGCCACCCCCCCCGGGCCGCACGCCACCCCCCCCGGGCCGCACGCCGCCCCCCCCCCCGGGCCGCACGCCACCCCCCCCAGGCCGCACGCCGCCCCCCCCCCGGGCCGCACGCCGCCCCCCCCCCGGGCCGCACGCCGCCCCCCCCCCCCGGGCCGCACGCCGCCCCCCCCCCCGGGCCGCACGCCGCCCCCCCCCCCGGGCCGCACGCCACCCCCCCCCGGGCCGCACGCCACCCCCCCCCGGGCCGCACGCCGCCCCCCCCCCGGGCCGCACGCCACCCCCCCCAGGCCGCACGCCGCCCCCCCCCGGGCCGCACGCCGCCCCCCCCCCGGGCCGCACGCCGCCCCCCCCCCCCGGGCCGCACGCCGCCCCCCCCCCGGGCCGCACGCCGCCCCCCCCCCGGGCCGCACGCCGCCCCCCCCCCCCGGGCCGCACGCCGCCCCCCCCCCCGGGCCGCACGCCGCCCCCTCCTCCGGTTCCCGGGGCCTCGGCGCCCGCCGCGGAGCCGCCCGGCGGGGCCCACAGGGCGCCTGTGACCTTGGACGGCCCGCCGCCGGCCTCGGTTGCCCCGGGTGCCCGGACGCCACGGGGGGGCGGGGGGCTGTCCTCCTGGTCGGAAGGACCAAACCGCAGGCGTGGGGAGCAGCCCGGCCGCCTGTGACATGTGCTGGGTGCTTCCCGCTCCCCAGCCGACCCTGCCGCCGGCTGGGCTGGGCTGGGCTGGGCTGCGGGAACACCCGGGGCTGCGGGGACACCCGGGGGCCCCCCGCGGTGACATCCGGGTCCGCCGGGACACCCGGGGCTTCAGAGACACCCGGGGCTGCGGGGACACCCGGGGCCGGGCCAGACCCACGCCCCCGGCAGTAACAGTGAAGAGAGTGCCCGCTGGGGCTGCCTGCCAGGCCTTTGCTACAGTTAGTATCTTCCTTTCCCCCCTAAATGTTTCCAACTACATTACTTTTTTGTTTTTATTTTTTTGTTAATCCTCACTCAAGAATATTTTCCATTGATTTTTAGAGAGGGAGAGATAGAGAAACATCAGTGTGAGAGAGACACTTCGGTTGGATGCCTCCCACACTCACCCCAATCCAGAACCAAACCCCAACCCTTCAGTCTGAGGCGGACAAACCAGCTAGGGCCAGTTAGTATCTTCTTAAATCTCTCTCTCTCTCTCCCCCTACATATACATATGTGTGTGTGTGGGTTTTTTTGTGTGTGTTTTTAAAAAATATATATTTTATTGATTTTTACAGAGAGGAAGAGAGGGATAGAGAGTTAGAAACATCGATGAGAATCACTGATCGGCTGCCTCTTGCACGCCCCCTACTGGGGATGTGCCCGCAACCAAGGTACATGCCCTTGACCGGAATTGAACCCTGGACCCTTCAGTCCGCAGACCGAAGCTCTACCAGTGAGCCAAACCGGTTTCAGCTACATGTGTTTTTATTGATTTCAGAGAGGAAGGGAGAGAGAGAGAAAATCATCCATCTGTTGCCTCCTGCACGCCCCACACTGGGGATAGAGCCTGCAACCCAGGCTTGTGCCCTAACTGGGAATCATAGTGTGATCTCCTGGTTCATGGGTCACTGAGCCAGCGGGGCAGTATCTTCTTAATCCTCTTACCCCCAGATGCTCAATATCTTTGTCCTCCAGATTGAGTATTAGCTGAGGCTCAGTGAAGTTAAGATCCTTTAAGGGCACAGAGCTGTGTTCTTATTGTTGGCATTATTATTATTATTATTATTATTATTATTATTGGCATTACCTGAGGATTGGGTAGGATAGTCCATGCAGATGTTTAGAAAGGATTGAGGTCATAGTTCAATTCCCAGTGTGGGGCGTGCAAGAGGCAGCCGATCAATGATTCTCTCTCGTCATTGATGCTTCTATCTATCCCTCTCCCTTCCTCTCTGAAATCAATAAAAATATACTTTAAAAAAGAGCATTATAAGCAGTTATTTGGGTCCTCATAGCAGCACTTTGACGTTTTGGGCGGATAGCCCCTGTTGTGGGCACTGGCCTGTGCATTGTGGGGTGCTAGCAGGTCTCTCCTCCCTCCACCCCATTCAGCTGTGACAGCCACAGGTCCCTGCACACAATCCCCATGTCCCCGGGGCAGCACCATCCCCAGGGGGGCCTCGGAGTGCCCCCTATTGGCGTTAACCAGACCTGCACCCCCCCCTCGGCGGCAGCTCTGCGCCGGCAGTTACACACCGTGTACCAGACCGTGGAGCTGCCCGAGACGCACCAGATGCTGCGCCAGACGTGCCGGGACTTTGCCGAGAAGGAGCTGTTCCCCATCGCGGCCGAGATCGACAAGGAGCACCGCTTCCCGGCGGCTCAGGTAGCGCCCCCGCAGCCGGGTGGGTGGTGGCAGTGGCCGCAGTGACGCGGAGGCTCTGGTCAGGGGGCCTGAGGCGGGTCTGGGGCCCGGAGGAGCTCTGGAGGCTCCCTGCCCGGCAGGGGCCTGTGGCCGGAGAACAGCCATGGCGGTGGGTGTTTACCGTGCACCGGCCTGGGGTTAATAATATTGAATAAATAACAGTTAGTAATAATTAATAATAATGCCCAGAGCGAGCTTCCTGGCCCCGGGCGTGGGAAGCTCGGCTCCTCCTCCTCACCAAGTCCCGTGCGCTGCCGTCTGTCCAGCTGAGGGAACAGCCGGTGAGCGTTAAAGCTGCCGGCTCCCTCCTGTGGCAGCACCCGCTCAGCACTCAGTGCCGCGGGCGTAGTTCCAGGATCACTCACCGGCCCGGCGAGGATCACTCCGAATGGAAACGCCCGCTCTTCCCGCCTCACTCCTCCATCCGGGAGAGGGCAGGGAGGACCTTCACCCCAGCAGCAGGGGTGACACCTGCTCGCTGCCTGAGCACGGGGAGAGGACGGTGTGGGAGAGTGGGTGACAGCCCCAAGCGCTGAGGACCGAGGGGGAGGAGATACTTGGGAGAGAGGTCATTTCTCCGGGCCGTGTGCCAGGCCCTGTGGAGGGGGGTGTGATGGGGGTGTGTGTGGAGGGGGTGTGGAGGGGTGTGGTGGGGGTGTGTGGTGGGAAGGGGGTGTGGTGGTGGGGGTTTGATAGGGGATGTGGTGGGGGGTTGAAGGGGAGGGGTATGTGGTGGGGGTTGTGATGGGGTGTGTGGTGGGGAGGGGGGTGTGGTGGGAAGGGGGTGTGGGGGGGTCTGGTGGGGAGGGTGTGGTGGGAAGGGGGTGTGGGGGGTGTGTGGGGGGGTGTGGTGGGAAGGGGGTGTGGTGGTGGGGTGTGGTGGTGGGGGTTTGATAGGGGATGTGGTGGGGGGTTGAAGGGGAGGGGTATGTGGTGGGGGTTGTGATGGGGGGTGTGGTGGGGGTGTGTGTGGTGGGGGTGTGGTGGGGGGTGTGTGGAGGGGGTGTGGTGCTTAGGGGACGGAAGGTCTCTGTACCCTTTGCTGACGCTTCCCGCCCGCCCAGGGGCTGTGGCTGCAGACAGAGCTGGTGCGAGGCCCGGCAGGTGCAAGGCCAGGCGGCCGGAGGGGAGCTGAGGGCAGTCGCCGGGGGCGGGGTGGGGGGGGGGCCCAGCGCCATGGCCGTGCCTCCCGGTGCAGGTGAAGCAGATGGGCGGGCTCGGGCTGCTGGCCATGGACGTGCCGGAGGAGCTGGGCGGCGCCGGCCTGGACTACCTGGCCTACGCCATCGCCATGGAGGAGATCAGCCGCGGCTGCGCCTCCACCGGCGTCATCATGAGCGTCAACAACGTGAGCGCCTTCTGGACCCCCCGGGGGGCGGGGCTCCGGGGCGGGGCCAGGACCAGGGGCGGGGCTCGGGGCTGGGGCGGGGCCAGGACCGGGGGCGGGGCTCAGAGACTGGGGCTAAGGGGCGGGGCCAGGGGCGGGGTGGGGCTCGGAGCTGGGGCGGGGCTCCGGGGCGGGGCCAGGGCGGGGCTAAGGGGCGGGCCCAGGGCTGGGGGCGGGGCTCCGGGCAGGCGCCCACCTGGAGGCTCCGGCTCCCCGTGCGGGTCCTCGGGCTCCAGGGAGACAGGCCTGCGCGAGGCCATGATGGGGGGCCGGCGGCTCCCGGGCTCAGGCCGCCCTGTCCCCGCAGTCCCTGTACCTGGGCCCCATCATGAAGTTCGGCTCAGACGAGCAGAAGCGGAAGTGGGTCACGCCCTTCACCGGTGGCGACAAGATTGGCTGCTTCGCCCTCAGCGAGCCTGGTACATGCTGCCCCCCCTCCCCTCCCTCAGCACCCCCTCCCTCAGCACCCCTCCCCTCATTACCCCTCCCTCAGCACCCCCTCCCTCAGCACCCCTCCCCTCAGCACTCCTCCCTCAGCACCCTCCCTCAGCACCCCCTCTCCTCAGCACCTCCCCTCCCTCAGCACCCCTCCCCTCATCACCCCTCCCTCAGCACCCCCTCCCTCATCACCCCTCCCTCAGCACCCCCTCCCTCAGCACCCCTCCCCTCAGCACCCCTCCCTCAGCACCCCTCCCCTCATCACCCCTCCCTCAGCACCCCTCCCTCAGCACCCCTCCCCTCAGCACCCCCTCCCTCAGCACCCCCTCCCTCAGCACCCCCTCCCTCAGCACCCCCTCCCTCAGCACCCCTCCCTCAGCACCCCCTCCCTCATCACCCCTCCCTCAGCGCCCTCTCCCCTCAGCGCCCCTCCCCTCAGCGCCCTTTCCCTCAGCGCCCTCTCCCCTCAGCGCCCCTCCCCTCAGCGCCCTTTCCCTCAGCACCCCCCCCCTCAGCACCCCCTCCCTCAGCATCCCCTCCCCTCAGCACCCCCTCCCTCAGCACCCCCTCCCCTCAGCACACCCTCCCTCAGCACCCCCTCCCCTCAGCACCCCCTCCCTCAGCACCCCCTCCCCTCAGCGCCCTGTCCCTCAGCGCCCTCTCCCCTCAGCACCCTTTCCCTCAGCGCCCTCTCCCCTCAGCGCCCCTCCCCTCAGCGCCCTTTCCCTCAGCACCCCCTCCCCTCAGCGCCCTTTCCCTCAGCGCCCTCTCCCCTCAGCGCCCCTCCCCTCAGCGCCCTTTCCCTCAGCACCCCCTCCCCTCAGCGCCCCTCCCCTCAGCGCCCTTTCCCTCAGCACCCCCTCCCCTCAGCGCCCCTCCCCTCAGCGCCCCTCCCCTCAGCGCCCTTTCCCTCAGCACCCCCTCCCCTCAGCGCCCCTCCCCTCAGCGCCCCTCCCCTCAGCACCCTTTCCCTCAGCACCCCCTCCCCTCAGCACCCCTCCCTCAGCACCCCCTCCCCTCAGCACCCCCTCCCCTCAGCACCCCTCCCCTCAGCACCCTTTCCCTCAGCACCCCCTCCCCTCAGCACCCCCTCCCCTCAGCACCCCTCCCCTCAGCGCCCCCTCCCCTCAGCTTGGGGGACAGACTGGAGCGGGCTGCCCCACCGGAGGGGGAGCTCGGGCCTGTGCTGACGGGGAGGTCACCTCCGCTGAGCTAGGAGCTGGGAGGGACGCTTGCTCTGGGGTCCCCTCCCCTAAAGCTGATCCCCCCTCCCACCCGCACTGAACGCTGAGGAGCTGGTGGTCTCTGGGGCTCGCTGGAGCCCGGTGAGGCCGGCCCCTGCGGGCAGGCACAGAGCCATGGGGTGGGGTTGAGGGGTGCTGAGGGGAGGAGTGCTGAGGGGAGGGGGTGCTGAGGGAGGGTGTGCTGAGGGGAGGGGGTGCTGAGGGAGGGGGTGCTGACGTGCTGAGGGGAGGGGTGCTGAGGTGCTGAGGGGGGGGATGCAGACAGAGCCGTGGCGGGAGGCGGAGGCTGGACCGGAGCTGTGCCGCAGGGAATGGCAGCGACGCGGGGGCCGCCGCCACCTCCGCCCGCGCAGAGGGCGACTCGTGGGTGCTGAACGGCACCAAGGCCTGGATCACCAACTGCTGGGACGCCTCGGCCACCGTGGTCTTCGCCAGCACCGACAGGGCGCTGCGCCACAAGGTGGGCCGGGCCCTGAGCATTTCCTCAGCTTTCTGCCCCGCCCGCCGGGCTTTCCCTTCCCCAGAGCGGCCAGCAGGGGGCAGCACTGCGGGCAGGGGGAGGGCCGGGCAGGGGAAGGGGTTGACAGGGCCGTGGCCTGGGCAGCCTCTGGGAAGGTCACCGCTGGGTTCCGGCTCTTCCAGGGCATCAGCGCCTTCCTGGTCCCCATGCCGACACCCGGGCTCTCGCTGGGGAAGAAGGAGGACAAGCTGGGCATCCGGGCCTCGTCTACGGCCAACCTCATCTTTGAAGACTGCCGCATCCCCAAGGAGAACCTGCTGGGCGAGCTGGGCATGGGCTTCAAGATCGCCATGGTGAGCGGCGCGGGTGAGGGGGCGCGGGGGAGCGGGTGGGGGGGTGAGGGGGGTGAGCGGAGTGGGAGGTGAGCGGGTGGGGGTTAAGGAGGTCAGGGGCGGGGGTGAGGGGGGCAGGGGGATAAGGGGGGGAGGGGGTGAGCCCTGGGTCGAGGCCCTGGCCAGCTGCTGACTGGGCGTCCCCGCAGCAAACCCTGGACATGGGCCGTATCGGCATCGCCTCCCAGGCCCTGGGCATCGCCCAGGCCGCCCTGGACTGCGCCGTGACCTACGCCGAGAACCGCAAGGCCTTCGGGGCGCCCATCACCAAGCTCCAGGGAATCCAGGTGACAGGGGGCCCCGGGGAGCCTGGCCTGGACCCCGGGGAGGGAGGGGGCGGCGGAGGGTTACCTGCTCCCCTGCTCCCGGAGGAAGGGGGGAGGGGGAGGGGGCGGGTGCTGACTGGCGGGCGGCCTGGTCTTGCAGTTCAAGCTGGCGGACATGGCCCTGGCCCTGGAGAGTGCCCGGCTGCTGACCTGGCGCGCTGCCATGCTCAAGGACAACAAGAAGCCCTTCACCAAGGTGCCCGGGACGCGGCTCCCTTTGAGGCCGAGGGACGGGAGAGGCTGGTGGGGTTCCCATTCCGGCTGCTCCAGGGGGCCTCCCCGGCCGACCCTCTGGGGCCCGTGCTGGGCACATGGACGGCTCTGACCCACGTCCCTTCCCCGTGGTCAGGAGGCGGCGATGGCCAAGCTGGCTGCGTCGGAGGCCGCCACCGCCATCAGCCACCAGGTGAGTGTCAGCGGGCGAGTCGCCGCCCCTCCCCGCGGTGCCCGTGAGGCTGGCCTGCCCCGCGGGGCGTCCTCCCCGCCTGAGCCCGCTCTCGCCGCTCTCGCCGCAGGCCATTCAGATCCTGGGCGGCATGGGCTACGTGACGGAGATGCCCGCCGAGCGGCACTACCGCGACGCCCGCATCACCGAGATCTACGAGGGCACCAGCGAGATCCAGAGGCTGGTCATCGCCGGGCACCTGCTCAAGAGCTACCGGAGCTGAGCCAGGGCGGCCCCGCCCGCGGCCGCGGACTGACTGCGCAGGAGCGGGAGCCACGTGCGGGCCCTTCCCCCCCCCCCCCCCCCAGCGTGCCGGAGCCTTCTAGAAGGCGAGGCGGGGGCTGGGGCCTGTGTGCGGACTCCGGCTCCGCTCCCCTCCCGACGTGCCTTATTCTTCATCGAGGGGACGGCCTCCCGAAGGCGGGCCGGGAAGGACTTGCCACCCGAGGCTCCCTGGCCGCCGTGGGCCCCGGGGCTCAGCAGGAGCCAGGAGGGCCGGGATCCAGCGTCTGCTCTTCCCTGAGGTCAGGGGTCAGGGGAGTGGGGGGGGCGGAGTAACTTCAGAGCAGCAGTGGCCGTGCTCTCAGCCACCTGGGGACGCTGGGACCTGTGCTCCGGGTGAGAGGAGGCGGGTGGGGGGCGGATGGCTTGGGACAGTGTGGGACTGACAGCAATAAAGTGGACCCTCCGAGCTGTCTGTGCCTGTGCGCTGTGGGAGGCGGCTGCTCCCCTCGGCTTCTGAGCATCGCGTCCGCCTGTCGGGAGGCCTGGCCGCCAGGAGAGCTCAGTGAGGCCGGTGAGGAGGACACAGGCCAGGCGGGAGGAGCGCTGGGGGCCTGAGTGTCAGGGGAGTGGCTCCCGCTAGGAAGGAAGGGGCCAGGAGGGGCTGGGGAAGGGGCAGAGCTGTAGAGGCCCTGTGAGTGCTGGGGGGCGGGGAGGGGGGCTTGGGGGGGGGGGGGCAGCGCTGAGCCTGCCAGGGGGTCTTGGTGGGGACCCGGCTTTGGGCCAAGGTGCCTGGGGCAGGAGCCCGCGCGCAGTCGCTGTGGCCGAGTGACGTGAGCGGAGAGAGAACGAGGAGGAAAGCCCACCTGGCGATGCTGTGAGGTCTGGGGGACAATGGGGAGACGGCCCATTTGGAGCCACCACCAAAAGGGTGCCGACGTCCGGGCCATCGCCCCGTGGACTTCTGTGCCAGGCGGGTGCTGCCTCCCCTCCCCCACACCGAGGGCAGCCTCCCCCTCCCCCTCCCCCTCTCCGGCCCAGCGGCAGGGCTGGCCTTGACCTTGGCCAGCGAGACCCGGGCGAGGAGCTCCTCGTGGGAATCAGGCCCTGATTTCACCATCTGAGGGCAAACAGAGCAGGAGGCGGCGCAGGTGAGGCTCCTGGTAATGGAATCAGCTGCCACCAGCTCCGAGGTCGGGCAGCGCCAGGGCCGTACTGACGCCCTCTGTGGGGCTCCGGGCCCGCCCTGGCTGGTGACGCTGAGGGTGTGCGGAGCCGGAAGGGTGGGTTCAGGGCTTCTCCCAGGAGCAGGTGTGGCCACCCCACGGGGGAAGCAGGGGGAGGTCTGAGCCCCTAGTGACCCCCAGGAACCGGGGAGGGTGTCAGTGGCTCCGCCCCTGGCCCAGCGGAGGGCAGAGAATGGCGTGGCATTCTCCTGGCCGCCCTTCCAGTACTGCGAGGGGCTCCTCCGAGTCCTGTCTTTCCGAAGAGCCGCATGGACGGCGTCCTGCAGGTTTGGGTGGGGGTCACTGGTTAAGTGGAGGTGTGATTGGCTTCAGGGCTCGGGGATGGGGAGCCGAAGTGAGCTCCCGTCCCAGGCGGGCGGCTCGGACCCAGCTCTCCTGCAGGGCCCTGGCCTCCCAGCTGGGCATTCAGGCCTCTGCCTCCGCCTCCGGTCCTGCAGCGGAAGCACCTGGGCCTGTCGCAGGGGCCTGCTCCTCGCCCTGCGGGGAAGCACCCTCACCCCGGGGCCGTGGGGTCTGTGTTCCTCTGTGCTCGGGCCTCCGGGAGCTCTCGAGGTTGGAGATCTCCCGGGAGGAGAGGCGAGCCCCAGACCCTCGGCTCTGATGGGGAGCAGGCCTGTCAGGTACAGACCCCGGCTTAGGGCTTACAACTCTGCCCCCGAGTCTGTGGACATGAACGCCTGAGCAGACGTGATGCCTCCGAAGGGCGAGGACAGCCAGCGGAGGAGATGGTGTGTGTGTGTGTGTGTGTGTGTGTGAGCACGGGGCAGGACACAGTGGGGCTGCAGGGGCCCCCAGGACCTGTAGTGGATTAGCCAGTGTCTCTCAGGGCACGCAGCTCCAGCACAGGTGCTTACTGAAGGAACAAACTCCAAGTGAGTGGGCATTGGCTTGGGCCCTGTTAGGGGCCGAGGCCCTGGCCCCTGCCTAACGGTCCCGGGAGAAGAGAAAGGGGTTTGTGCACTTTGGCTTGATTCCTCTTCTCCGTGAGAAAGAGGGGGAGGAGGATGTTTCTCTCCAGGGTCAGGCTTGCTGGCGGGAGGAGGCGGGTGTAAACATGGCCCCGCAGAGGAGAGGGGCCCGGGTTAGGGTAGGGCCCGGGATTGATGCAGTTTTCCTGAGACGTGAAGCTTACACAACCCTGGAGGGCTCGTTAAGGAGAACTGGAAACAGGACAGACGAGGCGGAGGCGGAGCATCTTAGGAGCTCATCAGTCCCACAGCAGACCCCGCACTGCCCGGGGTGTGTGTGTGTGTGTGTGTGTGTGTGTGAGCTGACTGAAAGGGCAGGTGTGTGTGCTCCCTCTGTGCAGCAGAAAGGCCTGGAATAACAGTTCCCTATGGCAACGAGCCTCGGGTCCCTAAAGAGACAGCTGAGCCTGGCCGGCATGGCCCAGGGGTTGAGTGTTGACCTATGAACCAGGAGGTCAATAAAATTACATTTTAAAAAAGAAAAGAAAAGAAGTAGCTGAGAACAGTGGGGGAAATACAAGGATATCCAGTGCCAGGCGAGTGGGGCTGTGTCAAATGACCCGGGAGAGGGGTCTGGAAGCTTTTGTCCAGCTTGCTAGGAGTGTTCACACACTTAAATGCTAACAACACCATCGCTCCTAAGCCTTTATAAAATACTTTTTTATTGATTTCAGAGAGGGAAAGAGAAACATCAATGATAAGAGAGAATCATTGATTGGGTGCCTCCTGTACACCTCCCATTGGGGATCAAGCCTGCAACCCAGTGCCCTGACAGGGAATTAAACCACAACCTCCTGGTTCACAGGTCAACTCTCAACCACTAAGCCATGCCAGCCAGGCTCAATTTTTAAAAAATAATATATTTTATTGATTTTTTATAGAGAGGAAGGGAGAGGGATAGAGAGTCAGAAACATCGATGAGAGAGAAACATCGACCAGCTGCCTCTTGCACACACACACCCCCCCTCACTGGGGATGTGCCCGCAATCAAGGTACGTGCCCTTGACCGGAATCAAACCTGGGACCTTTCAGTCCGCAGACAGACGCTCTTTCCACTGAGCCAAACTGGTTTCGGCTCAAATATTTTTTAATATTTCATTTAAATTCCTCTGTTGACTTTTCTTAACTATGTATTTTGCAATTTACATTTTTAAGAGTATTTTTCTTAGATTACAATGTGTATCCTTAGCTTTTTGTAGCCTACCTAGAGTTAACATTTTACTGCATCACAAAACTTTGGAAACACTGCAATGTATGAGTCGTTTACCTCCACCCTGTGTTTCATTCTGTGCAATATTTGCTATAGGTACAAGCTGCACTATGCAATGTATATTTAAAAAAATGAACCCCTAGCTGGTTTGGCTCAGTGGATAGAGTGTCAGTCTGTGACTGAAGGGTCTTGGGTTTGATTCCGGTCAAGTGCACATGCTTGGGTTGTGGGCTTGATGCCCAGTAAGGGACGTGCAGGAGGCAGCCAATCAATGATTCTCTCTCATCATTGATGTTTCTATCTCTCTCTCCCTCTCCATTCCTCTCAGAAATCAATAAAGATATATTTTTTAAAAAAGAAATGAAGAGAAAAGTCTTTCTGTTTAATCTACATGTTTATTCTTATCAGTATTAGTTATCTGTTGCTGCATAACAACCCTATAACTCAGTGACTTAAAAGAACAATAGCCGGCACCGGTTTGGCTCAGTGGATAGAGCGTTGGCTTGCGGACTGAAAGGTCCCGGGTTCGATTCCGGTCAAGGGCATGTACCTTGGTTGCAGGCACATCCCCAGTAGGGGGTGTGCAAGAGGCAGCTGGTCGATGACTCTCTCATCTATGTTTCTAACTCTCTATCCCTCTCTCTTCCTCTCTGTGAAAAATCAATAAAATATATTAAAAAAAAAAAAAAGAACAATAGACATTCCACAGTCTCTCTGACTGGGGAACCAGCATTGGCTCAGTTGGGTGGTCCTGGCTGCTGGTTTCCTAGGAGATCACAGTCAAGGTTTGGCCAGGGCTCTGGTCACTTGAAGGCTTGACGTGGGGCGTCTGCTTCCAAGCACTGTGGTCCTGGCTGTCTTGGCTGGAGCCTCCGTTTTTCACCACGTGGACGCTCCTTTCCCAGCTTGTGTGTCTTTGTGACCTGGCATTAGACTTCCCCCCTTCTGTGTGAGTGACCCAAGAAATTGAGATATAATTCACATACCATGAATCTCACCCTTTGAAAGTATACAGGACCATGGTTTTGAAATATATTCACAAAGTTAGATTCATCTAATTCTAGAATACTTGCATCATTCCCAGAGAAATTGTGTGCCTATTGGCTGTCCTCCCCTTTACCCTTCCCATTGCCTCTGACAACCATTAATCTCCTGTCTGTATCTGCTCCGCCAATTTCTGACGTTTTACATACTGTACACTAGAGGCCCTTTGCACAAAGATTCATGCAATAGGCCTTCCTTCCCCGAGCGGCTGGCACCAGTTTTCCTCTGGCACCTGGGACTCAGGCCTTCACTCCGTCCGCAGCAGAGAAGCCAAGCGTCTTCAGTCTTTAATCTTTAGTCTTTGTTCCATGCCTGTGTATGCAAATTAACCTGCCATGTTTGTTGGATTAATTTGCATACCCACTCCTGATTGGCTGGTGGGCATCACGGAGGCACGGTCAATTTGGTATCTTTCTCTTTTATCAGTGTAGAAGTGAAATCACATGTCATGTGGCCTTTAGTGTCTAGCGTCTTTTAGCATAATTTTTTCAAGGTTCATCTGTGTTTCTTGTGTCAGTAGTGTGCCTTTACATGGCTGAGGAATATCCCATTGATGGACATTTTGTTTGGACGTTTGTCAGTCGCTGGTCACTTGGTTGTGTCCATTTGGGAGCTGTTGTGCATAGTGCAGCCATGAACAGCGCCCAGGAGTTCTGTGTGGATAAGTGCTGTGTTTTCTTGTGTGTGTAGCCATGAGGGGATGGTTGAGCCACATGTGACTCTGCTTTACTTTTTTGTGGAGCTGCCAAGCTGTTCCAGGGCAGCACCGCTTTATAACCCTACTAGCAACATGTAGGAGTCCAGTTTCTCTTCATCCCTACTCACCCTAAGTGTTGTGTTTTTTTTAAAAAATATATATATATTTATTTTAGAGAGGAAAGGAGAGGGAGAGAGAAACATCAATGATGAGAGAATCATTGATTGGCTGCCTCTTGTATATTTTCTATTGGGGATCAAGCCTGCAACCCAAGCATATGCCCTTGACCAGAATTGAACCTGG